CCTTCTCATCCCCCACCCCCAGTGACCTCGCACTGCTGCAGGTACCGCCCCCCTCCCATGGTTAGAGGGTTTGTTATTTCAATAATAAGTGTGGGCCTCAGACTGAATTTCATCGTTCCTGTCTCTCAGCTGCAGATGGATGCGGAGCTGAACAGCCCTGTGGGTACCATCAAGCTGCCCCGTGCTAATGAGGAAGTGAAGCCAAGGACCCTGTGCACTGTCGCTGGCTGGGGCAGTCTTAGGCCAGATGCTGTGCTGTTACCAGACACGCTCCGGGAAGTGGACGTGGTGGTGATGCCGGACGCCGCGTGTCCGAGGAATCCGGACTGGCTGTATCGTGGCTACGACCCCGCCACCATGATGTGTGTGGGGGACCCAGCCCAGTTTTACGACTCGGCACAGGTACCTCCCCTTCTGGCCTCAACCCCCCTAGATAAGTGGCTCTGATTGACGAGGCTGTTGGAGTTCCCATTCGGAGTGGTCAGTAGCCATCAGGCCCCGCTGCGCCAGGTGCTGTTAACTGGCAAATCTCAGGGGGAGGCAGAAACCAGCAGGACAGGGCATTAAGAGGGGGGGCCTGAGATCTGTTGAGCCATGGAAGGGCCCAAGCAGAGACCAAGGGTGTTGCTGGGGGTGTCGCTGCCCCGGGCAAAGCAGGAAATGAGCCGTTTTCCATCTGTGGCTTGTTCCGTTTTGCAGGGCGACTCCGGGGGCCCCCTGGTGTGTGGAGAGAAAGCCTGGGGCATCGTCTCCTGGGGGTATTGCAAAGCACCCGGGGTCTACACGAAAATCTCCGCCTTCGTCCCCTGGATAAACAACACCATGAGGAGGCTGCAGGCTGGAGCCGGGCCGTGAATCGCTGCCCAGGCTTCTGTGCTTGGGAGGGCTCCGAATATAGATGGGAGTGAGTTTGCCCCCCATAGCAGAGGCCCCCTTCCCACAGTTTTTGCTTCACTCCGGAAGTTCCCAAACCCATGAGCATCTAGGCAGGAACCCAGGGGAGTTAGGAACTCACTGCAAGCCCGTCTCCCAACCCTTCGGCTGTTTCATCCCAGGACCATGTCCAGTCGGATACTGGCCATGAGCCCAGCCCTGGGGCAGAGCTGGCGGGTTGGGGGCTGCCCCCGGTCAGGCCGGGG